GAGAGGCGAACGGGGCGGGAAGGGGCAGCGCCCCGCGGGCAGATGGCCGCAGCTGGGACTTGACCCTCCTTCCCGACGGCCTGCGAGGGGCTGGGGCCGCCTTCCCTAACCGCGCTCGACGCCCCGCGTACCCGGCCAACGGCCCGCTCCTGGGAAGGCCCCGTCTTCCCCAGCTGGTGCGAAAATAAGATTAAATAAAAGCGTCCTGGATCCTGGATTTCTTATTAGCGCTGCGTAGTGTAGAGTTTTGTCCATAATTTTCTGGTGTTTATAGGAAGGAAGGAGGGAGATTTTATATAAAGTTTGCTCATATTGGCGTTGAGAGACTGCGTGACCTGTTTAGGTTTCGTTTTTAAAAGTAAGCGCTTTTACTTGAGGGAAAAAAAAAAAGGCAAAATAGTCATGTGATTATAACTGGGAAGCAACTGAATTGAGTTGTTATAAAAAACTTCAAATGATTGATTCATCCTGAATCACGATTTTGGAATCCGAGCTTGGCAGTTCTCCCTTTAGGCTACCAGGCTGGGCTCTGGACGCTCACGAAGAAATCCTTACGCCAAATTTCCTTTGGCATAATTTCAGTTGACTCCCAATTTTCGGGTGACTTCCAAAACACAAGCAGGTACCACAATTTCCATATACCTTCTGATAAATCAGGTTCCCGAGGCCTCTCTGGATGCTCAGTACATATAAACCAGGCAATAAACTAAGAAGAGTGAGGGTGCACCGTGCAAAAGTGTAACGAACTGGGGTGCACAAAAAAACGAACTAGGAAAAAAAAATGCCATACATCCAAAATGTAGGTCAAAGTGAGCTTGAAGAACATATGTAAAGATTTATATTCTAATAGAGTTCACAAAAATGTATAACGAAGGGCAAAACCTGCCTGCGGTGGGAAAGGAGAAGGAAGAATTATCAAAATCCAGGCATCTTTATTACACAGTTAAGCTCCATAGGTTAAAATGATTGAAACACAGAGCCACAATCACTTTTAGGACAGTGATAAAACTGCATTTAAGTAAGTAATTCTCATATAGGTGGAGCACCCTCATTTCCAGGT